GTATATATATATATACATATATATACATATATATATATATATATATATATATATATATGCATATATGTATATATGTATGTTATGTATATATGTATGTATGTGTATCTATCTATCTAATCTATCTATCTATCTATCTATCTATCTGTCTATATACACATACATATATGTATATATTTGCATTATATATACTTTTTTAATTTTCAAAGTTTATTTTGTTCATAAGTTATGGATGCTATATATAAATAAAATTAAAGACCATCAAATGCGTGGATTTCTTATTATATTATCAGAAATACCAAAGTTAAAGTTATCCTTATTGTTCTACGCTTAGTTTTTATATATAGACATAAATTTTTATATTAAATCAGGTATAAACATAAAGAGCTTTGCATAAAATATGTAATAAGATGGAATTTCTTGATGCATATTATCATATTATCACATCGTAAATAATATTTGATATTTTATCACATTTTCGCATTCTTCGTTTTATTACTTAAAAAGATGATTATCGATACGTTTATTTACATTGCCCCTCTAAGAGTCGCATATATATTTACATTGGTTATAATGTATGCGTATCGTCTAAAAATATATGGACGAATGATATCACCGATGACGTCATCCTTGGTATCGCGCTCAAAACGCAACGTTTCAGTTAGTCTCTGTCGGCCAGTGTGCAGTAACGTGTTTTCCTCAGGTTAGTATATTTCATGCACCATTTCTTATATTTGTCATCTTTGTATGTCATTCATAATTGGCATGTATTTTCCGATAATTTTTTGTTTTACTACATTTCGAGTAATTATTTGTTCAGACAAATAATTATATGTCAAAAATAAAGATGCAATATTTGAAAATTATAACACTATAATTATGATTTAAACTTTGTAACATGTTACAATATATTAATGAGATTTTTTTTTGTATATCAAAATTGTGTAACATCAAAGAATTTAAATATTTTCTTTCTGTGGCGTATTAATTAATTCTAGAACTACTAAAAATATCATGCTACTTTGACAATCTCAGATAGTGAATACAGTTTAGATAAATAAATAAATAATGTAAATCTTATTGATCTATTTCTAATATTGTATCCAGTAATAAAAAATTAACATTTTCTTTCTTTTTCGTATTTTTATTATAACTTTTGAATAAAGCTGTAAACGACCTATGTTTATGTACATTTTTTTTCTTATTTAGATCCATAAAATATATTAACAAAGTTTGGTCAAAACCTGGGACATCTTGTGTGCGTGCGCGCGCGCGCGTGTGTGCGTGCGTGCGTGTATATGATAATAGATGTAATTCTGATCCTAATTGATTCCGATAAATTTTTAATTTACATTTTATGTGTTCTGGATATTTAAAAATAACCTATGACTACACGAGTGACGTTTTGTTCGTTCGTAGCGCGGGCATACCTCAATTTCAGTGATGCCAAATTTTCGCACTGACTTTAATATTCGTTAGTATCGCAGGATAAATATTATCTGTCTTTATAAACTTCTTTATAAATTCTCTCTTTTTTCATAATTTTTTTTGAGAAATTCAATATAAAAAATTCTTTTTCGATTATGAGTTAAATTTCCTAACTTTAACTTTTGATACAATGTTAGTCAATTTTTTTGCTGAAAATTTCTTTATGATTATAACTTTATATACTGTGTATATTACTTATTTAAAAATCATGCATTATTATTTATCTGAAAAAATTAGTCATTATTATTTTACATAAACTTGTAGAAGTTTATTTTATATTTATATCTTTTCTATATGATGTATTCGATTTACTTGGTGCTTATGAATTTTAATAAATTATTAATAAATTGTATGTAATAAATTATCAAAAATATCGATGGAAACAAAATTTAAATTATTTTATCCGACAATTCTTTTTGTAAATTTTCTATTTTCTTTAAGACAAGTAATATGATACTGACAGAAGTTTTTGTTTATAATCAAATAAAAATTAAAACACACACACACACACACACATCAAATTTGTTATTGTTTAAATGAAGAAATATAGCATTATTATAATTATCATGTATACATAAGTTTTTTATATAAATAATTATATTAATTACAGCAATGATATATTAATTGTGTATCATTACTAATTTTATTAATATATAATTTTATATGAAATTTAATAAAATTTACAAAATCTAGAGTAATCAGAATTAAAATACTTTTTCTGTTATTGTACTTATGGTACTGTTCTTTAATTCGAGAAAGTAAATTCGAAGGTCTCACACTATCGATCGGACAAGCTTAAAGGGTGTGTCGAATGTTTCGAATCATATGAAAAAGTGCTTCGTGTATTATGTAATTAATTAGGGATTTATTGAAGCATGTTATTATATTGAACTTGTTTATTATTATAATTAAAATATTTTTGAGATAAATATTTATGTATTTATTACGAATCAAATTTTATAATCGTTCGTACATTTATTACAGCGCAATATATGATTAGTACAATGTATAACTTTTAAAGATAAATATGTATATACAAGAATGTGGAATTTTGAAGAAATAATAGCACTTCTGTTTTCATGGGAAAGCAGCGGCGATTCTCGCTCGATGTGGGTCACATCTCAAAATCTTGACCTTGTCCCACTTAACACACGCAAACGATTCCACTTATTCATATTGCATAAAATCTTTATAAATAAATAAATAAGAATAAACATCTTTTTGATTTCAGATCTGCTATTATAAAGCGAACCGATAATGTCCCATTCTGTAATGATTAGAACACAAACAGTGACGACCAATGCATCAACAATCGTCATCAATACGAGCTACTTAAAAACTTGGAGCGGTATCTTAAAATTGTTGCAATTGGTATATATCTCATTATTACTGCACTCGTTTTTCATTTGAATTATTGTTAATCTTTGCTTAAACAATATGTTCAAAAAATATTTTTAAAAAGTCTTTAAGTCTTCCTAAAGACTTATTTAAAATTATTCTGAAGGCTTTATTGAAAGATATTCCATATAAATGTTTTTAAGACTTGATAAAAAGACATCTGAAAATAATTATTTACTACATTTTCTTAGAACTTATTATTTATCTTGATAGATAGTATGTCATAAGTTAAAAAACTCGCAGTTAAAAAACGTTTCAGTTAGATATATATATATATTATACAGGATGTCCCAGAACTGGGGAACGAGCCGCAGTGGGAATGTAGAAGAAATCAAGGGGAACAAAAAAGTTTAATACTATTTTGTGATATTCGCTCTTAATTTTCGAGTTATAAAATAAAATATCCGAATCGATGAGTGGTGACGCCGCGCTATAGTACTGCTCCTAGCTTACGAGCGACGCGCGCGAGAG